TAGCTGAGCAATGCTTTGGTTTATATATTTTCAGACTTAAGAACTTTTAAGTATGCCTAAAATATCTGTTTCAAACACATTTATAGACTCTAGAGTCTGTATATGCCACCTCCATTTGTATCTTTTGGCATATTTGGAACATCTTATGGAATTTGAATCATTTTTAAAGTACCAGCTGTCAATAGTCTAATTAGTTTGAGTTGATTTGATCTCTCCAGTGTTTAACTACCCGTAATGAATAATTTTGCTGCTGTCATTCCGATAAAGAACCAAAAAACATTCCCTAGCTCCTATGACATTTTGCTACAAGCACAAATATCTAACTAAATTCCATTTGCATAATTCTGCTGCTGTAATTCTATCAGCCTGATCTAATTATGAACCAATAAGTAATTTACCTTAATTGTATCTGAACAATTTGAATATTATAAAACACTCAAAGCACAAAACACTCACAACACGCGCACTTGTTTTAAGTGAGATTTTGAATTAAAATTTTGGTTTTGGCCATTTCGTTGGATATATTTTTGTCGAATATCGGAATATACGTTATGTATGTATATGTTGTTATTTGTGTTGCAGAAGAATGCGATTCGATTGTTTTGTTGTGGACCCCGTGTGTCCGTGGTGTCCGTGTCCGCTGACGACTACCGACTCCGTGTACCGTACCGACGGCGTGTCACTGAGATTGTGAGACGTTGCCACTGATTGCGCTGCGACTGCGACTGTGACTGCGAGGCTGGGGCTTCGCTTCCCCAAACGAAACGCCGACGACGACTGCGAGAAATCAACGAAAAACGAATTGCATTCGAATGGGAATCGTCACCCACACATAGATACACACACACACACTCAAACACCCGAGTCGCGACTGAGAGAGAGATGGAACGATGGCAGTACGACAGAGAGAGAGAGAGTATTCGAGTGTTATTTTTTAACCCACCCACGGCCTGGCTGTGCTACGTACGTACCACCGTTATGTACCACTACTACAACAGCAACCTCCAAGAGCAGAGGAGAAATGCGCGCGCAAAAATTTTATTGCATTATTGCATTACCTTCGTCTGCGAATGACAAATTCGTAATGAAAGGCGAGCCAAATGTGTTTCGTTTCGTTTCGTATCGTTTCAGCAGCAGCAGCAGGCAGCAGGCAACAGCAGCAGCAGCAGGCAGCAGCAGCAGTGGTATCTGTGTGCATGTGTGTGCGTGTCTGTATCTGCGATTGTGCAAAACCAGAATACGAATACGAATACGAAAACGAGATACGAATGTTTGTTGCACGTTTTGAATTGCCCGCACACACCCATACACCCATACACCCATACATATATGGAAAAGGGGAGTGGTATAAGCGATTGATATGCCTGCTGCCACTTTCTACTCCCTCTCTCATTTACTATTCAAGTGTAAGTGTGTGTGTGCGAGAGCAACCCCGAAAAGTAGAATGACAAACGTAATAAAAAGACAAACACACAAATGAAACACAGAAGTCGTTGCGAAGGAGCAAGGACGTTCCACTCTCGCTCTCTCTCTCACTCTCTCTCCCTCTCTCTCTGTGTCTTACATACATTGAACTGCCTCTCTTTCACACTAGTTCATTCTCTGCTCTGCCGCTCTCTCTTTCTCCTACTCTGCTGCTCTGCCAGCGTCGTCGCCGTCGTCGTCTATAGTTACATTTATTTTATTTATTTTTTCAATTCGTTTGTTTGGCTCTGGTTCTGTTTCTGTTCACTGTTTCTCTGCCTCTCTTCTGTTCCACACACACAGATACACACATACACACACACACACACGTTCGTTTTCAGCTGCCATTGCCATCTCGCTTGCACGCCCTCTGCGCTCCTTCTCGCTCTCACAGGCAAGCTCAGGTGGGCTGCAACCAATAAACATGAGTGAGCAGCAGCATATTTGCATAGTATGGGTGGAGAGAGCAAGAGAGGGCGACAAGTATGCGCCTCTCACTCACTCCAATGGCCGACAGCGGCCAGCCTTATATAAACAAATGACAATTGTTTTGGCATTTTCTGTTGGTTTTCCTTCTTTCTTTTTCTTGGGGAGAGAGCCTTCCCGCCCACTATTTTCCACAAAGTAAATTAAAATAAATGCAATGCATTTTCCAAAACGATGTTTCGGTTCCTGCTTCGGTTTTCCGAGAGTTTGCGCAGCTGCTTTTGCATTTTATTTTTTATTTTTATTCTTTTGTTTTGTTTTGCCCTGCAGCGAAATTTCTTATTGGAAAAGCATTTTAATTTCAATTAAAAAAGTAAATGACAAACTTTTTCGTTACCATCACCTACCACCCCACCTCCCTGCCACCCTCTCCCCAACATCCATCAACGAATTAAACTTTTGCCATAGAGTGAGATAGCAACAGCTGTGCTTTCTCTCTCTCTCTCTATGTACGAATTGCTTCTCTCTCACCATCTTTTTTATGCCGTTTGTGGGTTTGTCAACCGCTTTTCCGTTTCCCATTCGCTTCGTATTCCCCTCGTTTATTTGTATATTTCTTTGCTGGATTTCGGTTCTTTCGTTTTTTTTTTGTCTCTTGTTGTTGTTATTGTTGTTGGAGCTTCTGCTGTTCTTCCGATTCAGAGGAGTGCGGCAATACTTTTGGACGACACTGTTCGCACTTGCTGGCGGGGGCTGCTGATGGGGGGGAACTTGGCCTGGGGGCGTTCGTTTTTCGGATGCTTATAAATAGGATTGCAAATGATGCCTTGTCTCGCACCTTTGCCACGTGTGTGGGTTGGTGAGTGTTGGTGTGTGTGTGTGTGTGCATATGTATGTATGTACACAATGAATGTGTCCCGTTAATGCGATGGGTGTGTTTCGTTTCGTTCTGTCGCTCATTTCTCATTTTTCTATTATTTGTCTTGTTCGTTTTTTCCTTCTGCGTTTCTTTTGACGATTTCCATTCCATCCCCAACCAATCGGAATTTCGTTGTTCTCTCCATTTGTTTTGAGAGAGTTGCACATGGTTGGGTGTAACGTTTATATGTATGTATTTATATCTATATATGTATGTATATGTATATGAATATGTCCTTTGTACATAATGTGTACATATGTAATGTATGGATTTTTCTTTTTACAATCGTTTTGGGTTCTTTTCTTTCTCTGAATTTCATTTCTTGCTCTCCTCATGATGCCGCAATATTGATGACAGCGCAAATTTGATAATAAATTGATTGTAAATATGAAATTCCAAGACATTTTACTTGAAATATTAAACTATATCGATTGAAAAGTTTATTGAATAGATTTATGGATTTCCCAAAAATTTGATTTGCTTTTTTTTCAGTGTACTTTTCTTTGTGGAAATTATTATCAAATTATTATCTACATATTTTGAATATTAAGCAGCCAAAATAAACACACTAAAAATGGAAGGAGAGCTTACGAAATTGTCCTTACAATTTCTTTTACAGTGAAACACATCAAAGATTCTTCCAAAAACACTTCTGGTAGTTTGCATATTCGCACATTATATATATTAAAAGGTTGAAAGCCGTCCTTGCCGTTACAATTTAAACTTTACATTACGTTGCTGTCAATTGTTTCATGGTGCATGTGGCTGGATTCCCAAAACGTGTCAGCTACTGTTCGTGAACATATGGTGGATGGATTCTGGCAGCAGCCAGCTTCTGTCAGTGAGTAATGACGACTTAAAGCGGGCTTCTACGTTGAGATGTAGTTAAGATGTAGATATTGTGTAGATTAAGAGAGCCACGCGGTTCCTTGTAGAGCTGTCAAACGATTGATAGTTGAGCCATCGATAGTTTTGAATGTTTTGAGAAAAACAATCGATACTATCGTGATAGTATCGGGCTCAAATAATTATTACTAAAAAATGCTATTAAACGCTTGCATCCAGGGTAGACTTCGAAGCTTAGAATACGGTCTCACCCTCTTCTTGGGCACCGATGAGGGCATGACATGTATTATACAACGAATGGGGCTCCGCCTCGTATGTATGTGTCGGCTGCTTCATATTTCGGAAATCACAAACACAAGGCAAAATCGAAACACTTGCTTCCGTTGCACCAAAAAAGGCCATTCCGGTTTCGGCTTTGGGTCATTGCGGCACCGTTTTTTTATGCCGAGAAAAAAATATCAAGTTGGAGACTAGTTTCAGGATGGTATGTCTTGGGACAAAATAACAGAAACGCACAAATTTTGTATCAATTATATTGTGATAAAACGGCTAAAATCAATTATAGAGAAAATATGTTATCGCTAAACGCAAAAGAGTATATGAAATACTAATATGAAATATTGAAATAAAACATATCAGAAATTAGATTCGCTAAAGCTCTGGATGTTCTAGTGGGCTCAACATTTATTTTATTCAGCGTTCATAATATATTTTTAGTTTTGCCACCTCTTTTCCCTTGTAAATAATAGAGGGCAAATAACACTTAATTTAAAGTCCATCGACCTATTCAGGGCCGGATCAACCCTCAACCGGGTCCTGGGCAACCATCAATATGGGGCCCTCCATTTTTTCTCGCCAGCTCCCTTCTTTTTTCATTTGAAATAAAAACTTATAAATTTTATGTTTGATTAATTTGTATGTTTATCAGTGGCTATTATATTTTTTATTCATTACTTGTAGTTTTGTTTTTTCAACAAATTTTCCTTTTAGCCCTAGGGGGGCCCAAGGCAACTGCTAATCCGGCCCTGGACCTATTCCCGTCGTCAGACTTCATATTTTGTTGGTGTATTCTGTCGCTCGACTCGACGCGGGCCGAAGCATTGACGAAGCCGAAAGCAGAGGCAAAGACTAGCCAAATGCTTCGGCCGCTCTATGTGGGACAAAGCGGCCTCAAAAACATGCGGGCATGAATTTTTGGCATTTGTTCCGGGCATTTGGTCCTCTTGCTTGTTAAAAATTTGCACTGACAAGGTATTCATTGTTGAATGTTTGGAATGGAAGTGAAATTCTAAAATATTTTTTCAACTATATGTCACATACATATGTCAGGTCCTACTCTGATGATTTCAACCAGCACTTAAATCAAACATCAGATGCATCGTGGATCAAAGCGAGGGAGACTATTATATTTTCTGGACCATGAGATACTAACATTGAAAAGTCATTTTCGACATCGAGCTGGGAGAACTGGTGATAAAAATACCAGTATCCCAGTTCGATGTCAACGTGATTATATTTTTTCAAAATTCTTATCAAATGATCCTGATCCCAGACCACCGGAAAGCCTCTATCAACGGCAGTGTGTAGGGCATGTTGATTAGCATCGTTGCCATCGGAAATAACGCCCAACAACAGGTTGTTCATTTTAAAGGCATGGATTGCATCCAGCACTTTTAAAATAGCGGCCTTCATGGTCTTCCTCCCCATCACCAATCCGACGGATGTGGGCTTCTAATAATTTAGGAGTAGATAATAGATATTGTTATACAAATGGTTAATGATTACTACGACAACATACAAAAAGCGATTAAAATCGCCATCGGCTGATTGTGCTGACATCACAAAAAGCTTCCAATACTGCAATTGGCCTGCTTCCTAAAAAACAAAATTTTTTCATTAATTTAATGATTTTTTTGTCAAAAAAAAAATTTAAATTTAAAAAACATCTTGCAGCCGCCAGCATGGTATCGTGAATTATGATATAAAATATTATGAAATATGTTTACTTACCCCAAGGTCGCTTACATGCAATTCATCCATTTGCAAGTAGAATGCGTGGCCATCAAAAAGTGTCAAGTTAGACAGCAAGTTGATGCATCCATCGTTCAGCTCCTTCAAATGCTTCGGCCGCTCTATGTGGGACAAAGCGGCCTCAAAAACATGCGGGCATGAATTTTTGGCATTTGAAAAGAGCTGGTCCTCTTGCTTCTTAAAAATTTGCACTATGGTAGTATTCATGGTGGAATGTTTGGAATGGAAGTGAAATTCTAATATATTAATTCAAATATATGTCATATACATATGTCAGGGTCTACTCTGACGATTGGACCCTACTCTAATGATTGCCACGCATCTCAGTATATTGGCCCATTGTAATAGATAAAAACTCTAATATTTTCACAATGAAATTGAAACGAAGTATATCATTTTATTTTAATTTTTTTATATTGTAATGTCCTATTTCAGGCTGAGGTATGCAGGGTCCTGAATTACAAGATATTTCTAATTCACGAGGACTTTATCGGGAAACCAGGAACTTTGCCAGCAACTGAAATAGAAATCACACCACTTTTTGGTTGCTTTTTTTTTAGGAATATTTATTTAATATTATTATATTAGATCTCTTTTCCACACCACCTAGAGGTAGAGATTTTGGCGCGTTTTTTTTAAAGTGGTGTCCCCAAGAGGCCTAATCCACTGCTCCATCTACTGTACTGCCGCCTGAAAAATAAATTCATAATATATTTATTTATATTTATATATATACACAAATTATTTACCTAATCAACCACATGGGCCATGTACCTCTCTAAATGGCCCGATATGGTTGTTGATGGCTTTGAGGAGTCTTTCTTGGGCGGGGGGCGTTGGAGACCAACATTTTCTTTTTTGCCCTAACAGCGGAGGCACATTGACTTGCAGCTTTTTTAGGTTTGCCTTAGTAAGGCTAACCACCTGTGCCTGTTGCTGCTGCATGGCCGCCATATGCTGGTGATGCTGCTGCTGCTGTGGTGATGGTGAGGCTGGCATCCTGGGACCCACAACAGGAATCCTGTACGGCGAAGGATAGTCCATCGGTGGCAGGCCATGCGCCTGGGTGGTCATTACCATTTGTTCGAGTGCCTGGAGAGTGTTTACCGGTGTAGGAACCACACCGACACTGGGCGGCACCTTGGAACTGGCTCCCATTCCCTGTATGCTGTGCTGGCTGGGCTGGCATCCTTGTGAGGACTTTGTGGGCGCCGGGCGCCAACAGGTGCGGAGTGCAGTGCCCGCCGGCAAGGTGAAGCCCAGGGCGGCCAGGGTGGCCTTGGCAGAGGCTCCTGTCTGAGAAGCAGCGCCAACAATGCCATTGCACAGTGGGTGGCCCCCTAGGCCAAAATTCAAAAAATCCATCTAAAAATTTTTAGTCAAAATTTAAACAGTTTTTCTCTAAATTGTCCAAATTTCTTAATGGCAAACCATTTTTTCCGGAAATCTAACTGGACTTTCTAAAATAGAATGCAAAGCGAGAACACGTGTTCAATTTTTCAGCGCCGTTGCGTCAAGTTAACTTTTCATCAAAACAAAAGTGCTTTTAGAAGTGGTCAGGCGTTCGAAAGAGTTATCCTAATTTAATTATTTAAAATGAATTTTAAAGTTGAAGGTATTTACTTTAGTTGTTGTTCTTGTAAAATTAATCTGATTGATTAAATTTTTTTTGTGTATTTTAGATCGATTAAACCTTTTTTGTGTATTTTGTAAACGTATTTTTCATGTTTAGTTGGAGTTTTAGTTGTGATCCCACAAAATTCCACAATTCGTTTGTGTGTTACTGTGTTTGTCTGATTCTTAAGGTACAATAATCGTTAAAATTAGCTGCAGAAATTTGCAGATGTGTATATAATCGTAAATATACTGACGACGTCTGACGTTTTTCAAGGTTATGTTTTTGCGTATTTTGATTTTGCTCTATCTTCGTCTTTCGTGTTTGTTGCTTTCTTACTTCTTATATATGCTTCATATTTCAGAAAATCACAAAACACAAAACAAAATCGAAACACTTGCTTCCGTTGCACCAAAAAAAAGCACTTGTCAAATCCTATTTCGCTTTGTCATTGCAGCACCGTTTTTTTTATACCAAAAAAAAAATACTTTTCACTTTGGTCAGACTAGTTTCAGGATGGTTTTTGTCTTGGGACAAAATAACAGAAACGCATTCAAATTTTGTTCTTATATTGTGATAAAACGGCTAAAATCAAATTATAGAGAAAATATATTATCGCTAAACGACAAAAGAATATATGAAATACTAATATGAAATATTGAAATAAAACATATCAGAAAATTAGATTCGCTAAAGCTCTGGAAAATGTTCTAGTAGATGTCAACATTTATTTTATTCAAAGCGTTCATAATATATTTTTTAATTTTGCCACCTCTTTTCCCCACTGTAAATACACACAGTACAAACAAATAACAACTTAAAATTTTAAAGTTTAAAACCAAAATCGACCTATTCAGGGCCAGATCAACCCTCAACCGGGTCCTGGGCAACCATCAATATGGGGCCCTCCATTTTTTCTCGCCAGCTCCCTTCTTTTTTCATTTGAAATAAAAACTTATAAATTTTATGTTTGATTAATTTGTATGTTTATCAGTGATATTATATTTTTTATTCATTACTTGTAGTTTTGTTTTTTCAACAAATTTTCCTTTTAGCCCTAGGGGGGCCCAAGGCAACTGCTAATCCGGCCCTGGACCTATTCCCGTCGTCAGACTTCATATTTTGTTGGTGTATTCTGTCGCTCGACTCGACGCGGGCCGAAGCATTGACGAAGCCGAAAGCAGAGGCAAAGACTAGCCAAATGCTTCGGCCGCTCTATGTGGGACAAAGCGGCCTCAAAAACATGCGGGCATGAATTTTTGGCATTTGTTCCTGGCATTTGGTCCTCTTGCTTGTTAAAAATTTGCACTGACAAGGTATTCATTGTTGAATGTTTGGAATGGAAGTGAAATTCTAAAATATTTTTTCAACTATATGTCACATACATATGTCAGGTCCTACTCTGATGATTTCAACCAGCACTTAAATCAAACATCAGATGCATCGTGGATCAAAGCGAGGGAGACTATTATATTTTCTGGACCATGAGATACTAACATTGAAAAGTCATTTTCGACATCGAGCTGGGAGAACTGGTGATAAAAATACCAGTATCCCAGTTCGATGTCAACGTGATTATATTTTTTCAAAATTCTTATCAAATGATCCTGATCCAGACCACCGGAAAGCCTCTATCAACGGCAGTGTGTAGGGCATGTTGATTAGCATCGTTGCCATCGGAAATAACGCCCAACAACAGGTTGTTCATTTTAAAGGCATGGATTGCATCCAGCACTTTTAAAATAGCGGCCTTCATGGTCTTCCTCCCCATCACCAATCCGACGGATGTGGGCTTCTAATAATTTAGGAGTAGATAATAGATATTGTTATACAAATGGTTAATGATTACTTACTACGACAACATACAAAAAGCGATTAAAATCGCCATCGGCTGATTGTGCTGACATCACAAAAAGCTTCCAATACTGCAATTGGCCTGCTTCCTAAAAAACAAAATTTTTTCATTAATTTAATGATTTTTTTGTCAAAAAAAAATTTAAATTTAAAAAACATCTTGCAGCCGCCAGCATGGTATCGTGAATTATGATATAAAATATTATGAAATATGTTTACTTACCCCAAGGTCGCTTACATGCAATTCATCCATTTGCAAGTAGAATGCGTGGCCATCAAAAAGTGTCAAGTTAGACAGCAAGTTGATGCATCCATCGTTCAGCTCCTTCAAATGCTTCGGCCGCTCTATGTGGGACAAAGCGGCCTCAAAAACATGCGGGCATGAATTTTTGGCATTTGAAAAGAGCTGGTCCTCTTGCTTCTTAAAAATTTGCACTATGGTAGTATTCATGGTGGAATGTTTGGAATGGAAGTGAAATTCTAATATATTAATTCAAATATATGTCATATACATATGTCAGGGTCTACTCTGACGATTGCAACCCTACTCTAATGATTGCCACGCATCTCAGTATATTGGCCCATTGTAATAGATAAAAACTCTAATATTTTCACAATGAAATTGAAACGAAGTATATCATTTTATTTTAATTTTTTTATATTGTAATGTCCTATTTCAGGCTGAGGTATGCAGGGTCCTGAATTACAAGATATTTCTAATTCACGAGGACTTTATCGGGAAACCAGGAACTTTGCCAGCAACTGAAATAGAAATCACACCACTTTTTGGTTGCTTTTTTTTTAGGAATATTTATTTAATATTATTATATTAGATCTCTTTTCCACACCACCTAGAGGTAGAGATTTTGGCCTTTTTTTTTAAAGTGGTGTCCCCAAGAGGCCTAATCCACTGCTCCATCTACTGTACTGCCGCCTGAAAAATAAATTCATAATATATTTATTTATATTTATATATATACACAAATTATTTACCTAATCAACCACATGGGCCATGTACCTCTCTAAATGGCCCGTTATGGTTGTTGATGGCTTTGAGGAGTCTTTCTTGGGCGGGGGCGTTGGAGACCAACATTTTCTTTTTTGCCCTAACAGCGGAGGCACATTGACTTGCAGCTTTTTTAGGTTTGCCTTAGTAAGGCTAACCACCTGTGCCTGTTGCTGCTGCATGGCCGCCATATGCTGGTGATGCTGCTGCTGCTGTGGTGATGGTGAGGCTGGCATCCTGGGACCCACAACAGGAATCCTGTACGGCGAAGGATAGTCCATCGGTGGCAGGCCATGCGCCTGGGTGGTCATTACCATTTGTTCGAGTGCCTGGAGAGTGTTTACCGGTGTAGGAACCACACCGACACTGGGCGGCACCTTGGAACTGGCTCCCATTCCCTGTATGCTGTGCTGGCTGGGCTGGCATCCTTGTGAGGACTTTGTGGGCGCCGGGCGCCAACAGGTGCGGAGTGCAGTGCCCGCCGGCAAGGTGAAGCCCAGGGCGGCCAGGGTGGCCTTGGCAGAGGCTCCTGTCTGAGAAGCAGCGCCAACAATGCCATTGCACAGTGGGTGCGCCCATAGGCCAAAATTCAAAAAATCCATCTAAAAATTTTTAGTCAAAATTTAAACAGTTTTTCTCTAAATTGTCCAAATTTCTTAATGGCAAACCATTTTTTCCGGAAATCTAACTGGACTTTCTAAAAATAGAATGCAAAGCGAGAACACGTGTTCAATTTTTCAGCGCCGTTGCGTCAAGTTAACTTTTCATCAAAACAAAAGTGCTTTTAGAAGTGGTCAGGCGTTCGAAAGAGTTATCCTAATTTAATTATTTAAAATGAATTTTAAAGTTGAAGGTATTTACTTTAGTTGTTGTTCTTGTAAAATTAATCTGATTGATTAAATTTTTTTTGTGTATTTTAGATCGATTAAACCTTTTTTGTGTATTTTGTAAACGTATTTTTCATGTTTAGTTGGAGTTTTAGTTGTGATCCCACAAAATTCCACAATTCGTTTGTGTGTTACTGTGTTTGTCTGATTCTTAAGGTACAATAATCGTTAAAATTAGCTGCAGAAATTTGCAGATGTGTATATAATCGTAAATATACTGACGACGTCTGACGTTTTTCAAGGTTATGTTTTTGCGTATTTTGATTTTGCTCTATCTTCGTCTTTCGTGTTTGTTGCTTTCTTACTTCTTATATATGCTTCATATTTCAGAAAATCACAAAACACAAAACAAAATCGAAACACTTGCTTCCGTTGCACCAAAAAAAAGCACTTGTCAAATCCTATTTCGCTTTGTCATTGCAGCACCGTTTTTTTTATACCAAAAAAAAATACTTTTCACTTTGGTCAGACTAGTTTCAGGATGGTTTTTGTCTTGGGACAAAATAACAGAAACGCATTCAAATTTTGTTCTTATATTGTGATAAAACGGCTAAAATCAAATTATAGAGAAAATATATTATCGCTAAACGACAAAAGAATATATGAAATACTAATATGAAATATTGAAATAAAACATATCAGAAAATTAGATTCGCTAAAGCTCTGGAAAATGTTCTAGTAGATGTCAACATTTATTTTATTCAAAGCGTTCATAATATATTTTTTAATTTTGCCACCTCTTTTCCCCACTGTAAATACACACAGTACAAACAAATAACAACTTAAAATTTTAAAGTTTAAAACCAAAATCGACCTATTCAGGGCCAGATCAACCCTCAACCGGGTCCTGGGCAACCATCAATATGGGGCCCTCCATTTTTTCTCGCCAGCTCCCTTCTTTTTTCATTTGAAATAAAAACTTATAAATTTTATGTTTGATTAATTTGTATGTTTATCAGTGGCTATTATATTTTTTATTCATTACTTGTAGTTTTGTTTTTTCAACAAATTTTCCTTTTAGCCCTAGGGGGGCCCAAGGCAACTGCTAATCCGGCCCTGGACCTATTCCCGTCGTCAGACTTCATATTTTGTTGGTGTATTCTGTCGCTCGACTCAACGCGGGCCGAAGCATTGACGAAGCCGAAAGCAGAGGCAAAGACTAGCCAAATGCTTCGGCCGCTCTATGTGGGACAAAGCGGCCTCAAAAACATGCGGGCATGAATTTTTGGCATTTGTAAAGAGCTGGTCCTCTTGCTTGTTAAAAATTTGCACTAAGGTATTCATTGTTGAATGTTTGGAATGGAAGTGAAATTCTAATATATTGATTCAAATATATGTCATATACATATGTCAGGGCCTACTCTGACGATTGCAACCCTACTCTAATGATTGCCACGCATCTCAGTATATTGGCCCATTGTAATAGATAAAAACTCTAATATTTTCACAATGAAATTGAAACGAAGTATATCATTTTATTTTAATTTTTTTATATTGTAATGTCCTATTTCAGGCTGAGGTATGCATCAGCCTGTCCTGGGTCCTGAATTACAAGATATTTCTAATTCACGAGGACTTTATCGGGAAACCAGGAACTTTGCCAGCAACCCTGGGGCCCACGTCGGCAATGCCGCGCCCGGGGCGCGCGGGGGGGGCGCCGGGCCGCCCCGCCCCGGGCCCCCCCCCCCCCGGCCCCCTCCGCCGCCCCAGCAACTAAATAGAAATCACACCACTTTTTGGTTGCTTTTTTTTAGGTATATATTTAATATTATTATATTAGACCCCTTTCCACACCACCTAGAGGTAGAGATTTTGGGGCGTTTTTTTAAAGTGGTGTCCCCAAGAGGCCTAATCCACTGCTCCATCTACTGTGCTGCCGCCTGAAAAATAAATTCATAATATATTTATTTATATTTATATATATACACAAATTATTTACCTAATCAACCACATGGGCCATGTACCTCTCTAAATGGCCCGATATGGTGGTTGATGGCTTTGAGGAGCTCTTTCTTGGGGCGGGGGCAACAACATTTTTTTTTTTTCCCTAACAGCGGAGGCACATTGACTTGCAGCTTTTTTAGGTTTGCCTTAGTAAGGCTAACCACCTGTGCCTGTTGCTGCTGCATGGCCGCCATATGCTGGTGATGCTGCTGCTGCTGTGGTGATGGTGAGGCTGGCATCCTGGGACCCACAACAGGAATCCTGTACGGCGAAAGATAAGCCATCGGTGGCAGGCCATGCGCCTGGGTGGTCATTACCATTTGTTCGAGTGCCTGGAGAGTGTTTACCGGTGTAGGAACCACACCGACACTGGGCGGCACCTTGGAACTGGCTCCCATTCCCTGTATGCTGTGCTGGCTGGGCTGGCATCCTTGTGAGGACTTTGTGGGCGCCGGGCGCCAACAGGTGCGGAGTGCAGTGCCCGCCGGCAAGGTGAAGCCCAGGGCGGCCAGGGTGGCCTTGGCAGAGGCTCCTGTCTGAGAAGCAGCGCCAACAATGCCATTGGCGTCACGGGCTGCTGCAGCAGCCGAGGTGGACGGCATGTCGCCGCTGAGATCAATGCTAACTATGGGCAGCACAGTGGTCCCCATGTATTGCTGCTGAGCGTTTACCTGTTGCTGCTGTTGTTGTCCCTGACTGCTCTGTGGCGGTGGCTTCGCTGGCGATACGCCCACCGGTCGCGGTGACATCTGTGGATGCTGTTGCTGCTGCAGGTGTTGCTGCTGCTGCTCTTCGCATTCACGCTTCAGCGGTGGTTGTGCTTCCCTCTGATAAGGACCGCTGGGGACAATAAAAATTGTATTATATTATATTTCAAGTACAGTGATGGAAAAAATAATAGAAACGACAATTTTTTTTCGCATTTTTCAAAATTTTCTTCAGTCAAAATTTTTATTTTGTAAGTTTAATAATTTTGATTGATAGTCTATACAGCTATGTATCAAAACATTACAAAATAATAATTTAAAAAAAATTAGTGTAGCAAAAATAAATTTTTTCATTTTTAGGGCCTGGAAAAAATAATAGAAACGGCCGACTTAAAGCGGCTGACCCTCAGTAAGCGCAAAGAAACCGTTTCTTAGGATAATTCCATCAGGCCAATCCATCAGGGAAACTTCTTTGTCCAGGAACCATTTCTTGGTCAGCATTTAGGAGTGATTCGTGTCATTATCCTGATCGAACTACCACTTTAATGGTATTTCCTACTCAGAATTATATTGTCGAGTATATTTACATAGTCGGAGGCACACATTTTTTTCTATATCCAAAGTATTGGGACCAATAATCGAATGGATAAAGCATCCCCACAACATTATGTGCCCACCACCATGCATACTATGTACATACCTTTCCAAGAAGAAATTGAAAATTTTTATTTCCGACCAATTTTGTTTCCTTACTCCTGGGTATACCTCAAAGGTCAACATCTTATTTACCCTCTTCTTTGGCACCGATGAGGGCACGACATGTATTATCATGCCCTCATCGTCGTTCGCCTCAGGATGTATATATATATGTTTCATAATTTTTTTTTTATTTGATAAAAAATCACAATAATTAAAATGAAACACGTCGTTGCAAGATGGAAAATGCAGCTGTCATCGTGCAAAAAAAAGCACTTGTCAAATCCTATTTCGCTTTGTCATTACAGGACGGTTTTCTTTATACCAAAAAAAAAAAAACACTTTTCACTTTGGTCAGACTATCTTCAGGATGGTTTTTGTCTTGGGAAAAAATAATAGAAACGCATTCAAATTTTTTTCTAACATTGTGATTGTTTAGGCCTAAGAGCGCAAATTCACCACTCTTTGGCAACATCTTAGTTAAGGTTCATTTGTAAGAGGAACTTGTAAGGAACATGAATTCAGATGGAAAATATAATTGAAGAAAAGAAGAGTTTTTATTGACCCCCAAAACAGTGATAAAATGGCTAAAATCAAATTATAGAGGCAATATATTATCGCTAAAAGACAAAAGAATATATGAAATACTAATATGAAATATTGAAATAAAACATATCAGAAAATTAGATTCGCTAAAGCTCTGGAAAATGTTCTAGTAGATGTATACATTTATTTTATTCAAAGCGTTCATAAAATATTTTTTAATTTTGCCACCTCTTTTCCCCACTGTAAATACACACAGTACAAACAATTAACAACTTTAAATTTTAAAGTTTAAAACCAAAATCGACCTATTCAGGGCCAGATCAACCCTCAACCGGGTCCTGGGCAACCATCAATATGGGGCCCTCCATTTTTTCTCGCCAGCTCCCTTCTTTTTTCATTTGAAATAAAAACTTATAAATTTTATGTTTGATTAATTTGTATGTTTATCAGTGGCTATTATATTTTTTATTCATTACTTGTAGTTTTGTTTTTTCAACAAATTTTCCTTTTAGCCCTAGGGTGGCCCAAGGCAACTGCTAATCCGGCCCTGGACCTATTCCCGTCGTCAGACTTCATATTTTGTTGGTGTATTCTGTCGCTCGACTCGACGCGGGCCGAAGCATTGACGAAGCCGAAAGCAGAGGCAAAGACTAGCCAAATGCTTCGGCCGCTCTATGTGGGACAAAGCGGCCTCAAAAACATGCGGGCATGAATTTTTGGCATTTGTAAAGAGCTGGTCCTCTTGCTTGTTAAAAATTTGCACTAAGGTATTCATTGTTGAATGTTTGGAATGGAAGTGAAATTCTAATATATTGATTCAAATATATGTCATATACATATGTCAGGGCCTACTCTGACGATTGCAACCCCTCGCTCTAATGATTGCCACCATCTCCAGTATAGTTGGCCCATTGTAATAGATAAAAACTCTAATATTTTCACAATGAAATTGAAACGAAGTATATCATTTTATTTTAATTTTTTTATATATTAGATCTCTTTTCCACACCCCTAGAGGTAGAGATTTTGGCGCTAATCAACCACATGGGCCATGTACCTCTCTAAATGGCCCGTTACGGTGGTTGACGCCTTTGAGCTGTCTTTTTTGGGCGGGGGCGTTGGAGACCAGAATTTTTCTTTTTGTCCTAATAGCGGAGGCACATTGCCTTGCAGCTTTTTTAAGTTGGCCTTACTAAGGCTAAGCAGCTGCGGCTGTTGTGTTGCCTTAGTCACAACCACCTGCTGTAAATGTCCGTCCGGTGCTGAAGAGAAGCAACAAAAGGATGTTAGATCTACAAAATAACTGTATAACTTAATCGCTACTTACCAGTTGTCATTACCACTGTACGCTGCAGTTGTTGTTGCTGCAGTTGTTGTTGTACCTGCTGATGCTGCATCGGACTGCCGTACGGACTGTGGGCATAGGCCTGCGGTGCGGCCGGTTGTCCTGCTTGAAGAGCACTTGTCGGTGCCCCACTCACGCCCACTCCCACGCCGGGATAGAGGGGATGCTGGCCAGGGACCTGCGGATAGTGCTGCGGCAGTCGAGCCTGCTGCTGGCTCTGCTGCTGCTGTTGTTGCTGCTGTGGCGTGGGCGGTTGCTGTTGCTGCTGTTGCTGCTGCAGGTGTTGCTGCTGCTGCTCTTTTCATTCACGCTTCAGCGGTGCCACAGGAGCCTTGGCCGGCGGTGGCGGTGGTGGTTTCGGTGCTTCCCTCTGATAACGACCGCTGGGGACAATAAAAATTGTATTATATTATATTTCAAGTATATTTTAGATAAAAAACACCGGCTGTTCAAGTTAAACAAAAGGAAAATGCGGAGCGTAAAAACAAAAACACGTCCTGGTCACTACGAAAGAGAACGATATTTATGTACATACCTTTCCAAGAAGAAATGGAAAATGTTTATGTCCGACGAATTTTTTTTCTTTGCTCCAGGGTATACTTCAAAGCTCAAAATCTTGTTGACCCTCTTCTTGGGCACCGATGAGGGCATGACATGTATTATCATGCCCTCATCGTCGTTCGCCTCAGGATGGATATATATGTGTTTCATTTTTTTTTAAATTTGATAAAAAATCAGAAGAAGCAAAATGAAACACGTTCGTTGCACCAAAAAAGAACACTTGTCAAATCCTATTTCGCTTTGTCATTACAGGACGGTTTTTTTTATACCAAAAAAAAAAAATACTTTTCACTTTGGTCAGACTATCTTCAGGATGGTTTTTGTCTTGGGAAAAAATAATAGAAACGCATTCAAATTTTTTTCTAATATTGTGATTGTTTAGGCCTAAGAGCGCAAATTCACCACTCTTTGGCAACATCTTAGTTAAAGTTCATTTGTAAGAGTTGTAAGGAACATGAATTCAGATGGAAAATATAATTGAAGAAAAGAAGAGTTTTTATTCACCCCCAAAACAGTGATAAAATGGCTAAAATCAAATTATAGAGGCAATATATTATCGCTAAAAGACAAAAGAATATATGAAATACTAATATGAAATAAAACATATCAGATAGTATCTAAAATGAATTTTTTTAGAAACGGAGTAAATTTCGCGAAGGTGCATTTATTTCGTCCAAGATAGAAATATGTGTTAAATTAATATTATATCGCTCAAATTTATTCCCGAACATTTTGTTCTTTTCAAATTTTCAGAAATGTAAATGTTACCACTCCGTGTGGCAAATAATTAACAACAACACCAAATAGAATCTTTATGCTTCGAAATACATTTATTTATGTAAGCACTATAGTTATGATTTATTAAATTGTGTTGTCGTGCCGCCGTCTTCTTTTTTACTCTCCTCTTCGTTCTGTTTTTTAGAGATCGGCGACGCGACTTAGTCCCGATATTTTCTCGTTCTCAGAAACATCGATAGCAGGCTGACAATATTAAGGGTAGGAGCATGGTGACCGTTTGAAATTAAAAATTAGAATTAGAAATTTGAATTTCAGATTTGAATCTGAATTCGAATCAGCAACCGAATATTTATTGAACCAGCAACAGTAAACATAATAACATCCACAGCCTTTGTTAAGCAGAGAAAAACAGTAACATTTTGTTCTTTTCACATTTTCAGAAATAATAACAACAGTTGTATATTTTATACACAAATAATTGTATGTATATATGTTTTTTTCTATTTTACAAAAAAGCGTATATATTATGTACTTGTACATAACATTTTGTTCTTTTTACATTTTCAGAAATATATATATATGTTATAATAACATTGGAAGACATTTTTTTTTTACACTAAATCCACCAACAAAGCGTAAATATTATGTACTTGAACATTTGTATTTACGATGGTAAAGCAGTCCAACATGTACATGGTAATTTACGTCTGAAGAACATAGAAAAATACTACCACAACAAAGAGAGCAAAATTGTTGGTAAAGCAGTTGACTGACAAAAAAACACCTTGTGGTAAAAAATGAAATGAATCGCAACAAATGTAAAAGCAAACAAATACAATAACAATTAGGTAATTTTTTTTTTGCATTTTTGAAATTTCTTTTTGGTTTCATTTCCAGTTGTACTGTGTGTGCATTTGCTTTTGTCTTCACATTCTCCTCTTCCTTTGATTTTTTATTGTATTCGCATTCGCATTTGTATTTGTATTTGTGCTTCTTTTAGCCGGCATTGCTTTTGCGCTCTGCTTTGACGCTCTGCCTACGGCAATCTTACGCTCGCTTTGTGCTCGTCATTTGCCCGCCTCACGTCGAATTGTCTATAAATAAAAAGGTATTCCGGTAAACAATAGTTTATCAACAATTTTCGGTTTCAGCGCGGATCTACGATCCGAAATAGTTTGTCCGGCCTTTGAGAACATCCGCTCGGACTCCGTCGAGGTTGCGGGAACACACAGAGCTTTCCTTGCCACATTGGCTAGAGCTGGCATGTCACTTTCATTGCTCTGAAAAAAAACGTATATAAACAAATAAGTTTGATATACAAAAATGTAACTATCACCACTTACCTTCCAATACTCTAATGGGTTGCAATCATTTCCGGTATTCATTTTTTCAAAATATTGTCGAAGAACCACAATTGCGTCGACTCTATTGTTTCTTTTCTTCTTTTCTATTTTGGTTTTTATAAACTTAAGCAGAGTTTGCTCGTGTGAGACTTGTACTGGCTGTTCTGCTTCCGGTTCTTCAGGTTGTTCTCCGTTGTAGTTAGTCAACATGTTTTCCAACAAAACGGCGCCTTGATCAGCATTGATCTGTAAACGAAATCCTTCTTTTTTGTATCGTGGATCCACAATGGTGGCAAGTCTAGTTGTTGAACGCTCTTCAAATGGGAAAAGCCAATCCAAACATATCAAAAGCGCAGCAACTGTAGCTCGATACTATTATGATAGTCTCAAAACCATCGATAGTAGCGGCTAGCAGCAAAACATCGATACTATCGATAGTGCCCTAGATGGTTTGACACCTCTAGTTCCTTGAAGTACATTAACGATGATGGGCCCTCCATAGGGCCTTCGTCTCTCCATAGATTTTAATGAACAATACCTTAAACGACTCCTAATTAATGCGTCTGTCTAAAACTAAAAATGCATGCCAAGAATTATTTTTTTTTCGACTTTTCCTGAGTTTTTTAAGTCAAAAATTTCGGGAATAAATACCGCAAAAAAAAAATGAAATTTGAATTTGAAAGCTTAATATCTTCCAGGCGTTAAGCTGCAGATACAAAGTGTCTGGGTCGGATTTATAGCTGCATTTGTCAGATTTTTAGAACTGCAAAGTTCTATGCAACCAGATATAAGATACTTAGGCTATGTGAATAATAAAAGCACTACCTCTGAAAAAATAAACATTATAAAAATACCAGATTTTGAAAATTCTTAAAAAAAAACAACCATAAAAAAAACAATATTCCTTAAAAATTAAAAAAAAAATTGTTTTAAATTAAAAAGAATTTATGTACATATGTGCAAAAAGTATCTGTCGGTCGGATCTTTTTTAAGGGAATATAATCTGATCTTTAATGTAATCGATGAAGTCATCCATCCCCTTTGCAGCTCATCCTCGACCGCTAATCAACCGCTTTAGTGAACATATTAATTACTTTTACGCTTATTTAATTGCTTACTTTCGAATCGCATTGAATGAGCAGCAATTATTCATGAATGCATTCCGAAAAACCACCTACCGAAAAGCGTTTAAAATGGTATGGTTTAGTTTTAGTTTTCGTTTGACCATCAAAACCTTAACATGTGGCCTAAGCTGAACTGGATCTCGCTTTTTCTGATCCTTTATTCCATCACCGAAGTATATATCAACGAGATAACATGACATTCTGATCCTTTAATTATTGAAAACGTTTCCAAGATCTTATCTAAAGTTGAGCTTACCAACATCAAATGTAATTGTGTAGATAAGGAGTTCTGCGCTGTGGATCAATGTTACTTGAAGTCGATAAATCGAACCTACAAATATCTAAGTATAAAAGTGAACTTACTTAAACCCTTAGTTACCAATGTTAAGGTATGCGAGTACTTTATTATGAAGAAATTGGATCTCATATTCTCCTATCTTAGGTAAATGGGGCGTTGCTAAAACGGGCAAATGGATACAAGCCATTTCTCTACAATATCACTGTCGATTTCTGTAGATTCATGAAATATCGTAAGTCGAATCCAGTCGCTGGTTATTTTTTCGGTTTTCTTGAAGCGAACACCAATTTGAACCACTCATGTCCCTACAATGTAAGTTGATCCTTCCAGCACCAGCAGCTTCTATATTGCTAATCAGTATTCGCATTCAGGGTGCTATGATGGTGGATAAGCTTCCTACCAGCTTTATCAATCATCATTTAACAGCGATTTTGCCCTTTCCAGAGGGTGACTACCTTATGGAATATAATTGGTTTATAGACAACATCCATCGAGCTGTCTTCCAAGTCTATGGAACTCTTTCTGAAATTGATAATGCAAATGGTTAATTTCAAAATATAAATTCTATACCTTTTACTTGTAGTTTATTTCCCATTAAAAAATTATTGATTTTGTACGGTATATGTACGGTATATTATTCAATCAAGTTCTAATTTTTTTTTAATATTTTTCAAAATGACCGCCACAAAAAATACTGACATTTTTCGAGGTGAGGAGAGCGAAATATAAAAATCACATACCGTTAGATACATTTAATTTGTATCTGAAAAATTTCTGTCTCCAATTTCAGTCTCCAATTAATGCAGAAATCAGTCTCTGTTTTAAGATATTAACGAAATTTTTCAGCTCACGGGTTCCAATAATAGGTATCAGAACCGGGATAAATGTGTTTATAAACACACAAAACATATGCATTAATAGGTAAAAAAAACATGTCAATCTAGGATAAATGGTTCAATGAAGCTTGGAAAAACAGAATTTAACATAAATTTAAGGAAATATGGTATAAAAATGTCCAGACGCATGCAGACCAGAAACAATGACGTCACACCTAGTCAACATTTACGTTTTATGCTTTGGCCATTTTGGTTTGAATCTTTGTATGTAAAGAATGGAGTAAAGAGGACTTCTGAAAACCAGCTATTCTTGTAGGAAATTGATGTATATATTGGATAAAATTATTTGTTTAGGGCTGGTAGGGCCAACTAGCTAGTAATATTAAACTGAATATCAAAATTATGGAATACGATTTCAATCAATAAAATAGAACGTTAACCCATTGTCAACCAGGGGGGTATTTAATATTTCCACGAAATTTATGTAACTTTAACATATCTTACGCATTACAGGTGAAAGATATCGGTGGTAATTTTTGTTTTGTAAGTAAAGAGGAGGATAGAGCTACAAGGAGCCTTTACAAACAGTATTATTTTCCCCGGTTTAACAAAGGGTGTTCAACTTTTTAAACAGAGGGGTGTTAAGTGGGTTAAGTCCAGTTTGATCGCCAGGTTGCCCTGGGGTTTTTTTTTTATCGTTATCGGTCACGCTGAGAAGCACGCTGGCAAAATTTAGAAAAAATTTTTAAAATAAATTATGCAGGCACACTGAGTAACTGTGCAATTGTGGATACCGCGGATATAGAAAAAGCAACGGCTGCAGCAGTTGAAAACAGTGGAAAAAACCCAGTGGGAATCTATCGCGGGCGCGTGTTGCAATACATACAGAGGCAAATACGGGCACATAGGACAGTGTGAGGACTGACGCAAAAAGAAAAAGTACACAGCTGCAGATAAAGTGTTAAATTAATAAAAGCAACAAACGTAAAACAACACGCGCCAGTTTGGGAGATATTGGTGTTGCTGTGCTGGAGTCAGAGAGCCGCATGGACGAAGAAGTCATTGAGATTAGCGACAGCGAACGCGAGGAAACCGAATCGACCTCTGAAATGGACGTGGAGCTAACGGAGCAGCAGACCCCAGATGCGGAGCAGATTGTGCCCAAGGACGCGGGAACGTAAGTAGACAAAAGTAGTTACCCAGTCAGTCTCAAACTGTAGATAAGCGTGCGCAAGGTGTCTGTGTGTGTATATATGTTTGTGTGTGTGTATGTTTTCGTTCTGTCTTTTGCACGGCTGTTTTATGTAATCTATCGCCCCTGCTTTGCCCTCTCGTTCTCTGTCTCACTTTGGCACTATCTATCTTTGCTTTTTGACGGAAGGCTGCATGGTCATGGGCAGCCAAACGTAGAAACAAGCGTCAGCAGCGACGTCAAAGCCAACGCCAACGCACACGCCCAGCGTCAGCTGCAGCAAGCAGCCCCTCCCTCTCGTGTGGCTGGGGCTTTGGTTTGTTCTTGTTGGCATCAAACCAGTTTTACTTTTCTTCTTCTGTTCCACAGGGCCTGCTAGTATGTGTCTGTGTGTGTGGGCCGTTAATTTTAAATTTCGCCAAACCTACGCTTATCTGTAGTTTGTCAAACTGTATGCTTGTTTAAATGGGTTAAAAACGAGTTGTCTCTAACAAGTAGTTAATTTGAATAGTCGTCAGCTTTTCACTTTTAGTTTAGTGTTTCCAAATTTTACGTCGGGAAATAATCGACTAATTAAGCATTTTCAAAAACTTAAGCCTAAATTCAACCTCATGAAATAATCAAATATTTTCGCATTCAAAAGTTATTTGGTTGATTTCACAAAATTTCGTAATTTATAAGTTTTAAAAGCACATTGTTATGGGAACGCAGCAATTTGAGAGCCACCTCTCCGCAGTAACACAACATTTTGAGATTAACGTCATAATGGCGACTGTAATCAGTTTAAGAATCAGATAACTCAAAGCTACTCAAAGTTTAAGAGCCACAGAATTGATTCTCCTCTGCTTTTCGCGGTGCCAGCTTGGATGAAATCGACTTCCACTTCTGCCTCTTTGACGACTTGTAAGGGGCCCGGAACGTAACACGCGAATCTTGGCAGGATGTGGCTTGACCCTGGGTTCCTTAGCTTAAACAGTTTGGGAACGACTGGTTCCGACAACGACCAACTGGACGTCTTTCTCGGCTCGAGGCATTGCGGCGCTTTGGTGGACGGCCACGGATCGTCGTGAGACTCTTCTGACGCTCTTCAACATTGAGTATCGGAATTGGTTAAGTTCTTGTGGCTCCTGCATGAGTCCCCATGATCATGTAATAAAAATTCCCTATAAAGCAAAAATCCTCTATTTATTCAACCCAAAAATGATTGGTTCCAATTGCTAAAAGTTCTCTCGTGCCATAAATTGGCGAACAAAAGACAGTCCGTTGCAGTGTATCTATTGAGTAGTACATTCTTCTCCTCTATCGCATTAAACATTTAAATGCGCACCTTTTCTGTGAATTGGCCAATATAAACAGTTATAGACTTGTCTTCGCCACGCTTCATTTACGTTTACTTTTTCCCGTTGTTCTGTCAACAAAAGCACGAAGCGCAAAGCAACAGAAAATCAATAGAAATTGTTCTTTGCATTCACATTTTATTTCATTTCCGTGTTCAATGCAATTGGAATTGTTCCTGAGAGTTGAGTTGCTTGAAATAAACGATAAAATAATGCATTTTAGGTAATTCCACATTATTTATTCGGTGATTTCCCCTCCCAACACGGAATTTTGGTCATTTATTTAGTTTGTTTTTTTTTCTCATGAGTAAGCGTAAAGTGTATAGAAAAGTCACACTGATAGATAAGATTGGCATTGAAAAACAATACGGATTGATTAAATGGTGTGACTTTTGGCATTGTCTGCGAATCACACAGGAAAGAACTGTCCTGAATGACTCCTAAAATCAGGTACAGTCATGGACAGATTCGCTCTGTAGAGCAAAGACAATGCCGGAGTTGGTTTGAGCCCACACATGGCCGAAATGTTTGGCCGCAAAAATCGCGAATGTGAATGAACCCAAGCGGCACATCAAGCACTGGCTTTGGTTTAGGCCTTCAGCAATTATCTAATTTTCATTAGTTATGTGGGTTTTCCCTCTCTCTCTCTCTTCATATACTTGTTCGTTTGAGTTCACGGACTTTTCATAATTTTGGCAAAACAACAATACAATTTCTCCTGACTTGTGGCCGTGACTCATCGCAGAGAGAAGATGCATATATGTATATAATATATGTACATTCATTTTTTTCTTGTTTACACTCTACTTGGAAACTTGATGATGATCTTGTGGAGAATTTGGCGTGTCTGCTGATGATGAGGAAACCCGTTTAAAAGTCTAGCAAGATGACTCAACCTGTTGCCAACTAGAAAGGTTGACCCTGATACAAATAAATGGCGAAATTTCTATGGCAACTTTGGGAGTTCGCATTGCAGGCAGCATCTGCATCAGCATCATTTATTGATTTTTATTTTGTGTCGTCCATACGTCAGTGGGAGCTGTCATCTATTTATAGAAACGGGGTTGAGAGCTTGCTTGGGTGACTGTCAAGCGCAAGGTCACGTGGGTGGTCCTGTAAAAGGGCAAAGGTAAGCCAAGAGAAATCTCTGCAATTTTTATATGTACATATTTTGTGTTACAGATGTCCTGTGTGTGACAGTAACATGACATTGTATTTGACATACGGTCAATTGGATTTATTGAAGCAGAATTGAATTTTATTTCGAATTCGGTTTAAATTAAAACCACATTTTGTTCATTGGACCAGTTCATTGAAGCCAAACAACAGCGAACTAATCAGTTCAGTTCGTTTATGCAAAATCACAAAGTTTTTTTAAACCACAAACAACCTTCAACTGTTTTGAAAGTGCAGATTTTAATCACAGTTTTAACAGCTGTTTGTGAAAAGTTACTTTACTGTTCTTGAAACAAAACTTCCATTACAGTTTGCGCTGCACTTTGTTCTATTACTACCAAGTATTTACCGTCCATCAACAAAGTTGCCAACGCTTCAGACGGGCGGCAGCCATCAACCCCATTTCGAGCGCGGACTACGCTTAACCCAAATTCACTTTGTTGTTCTTCAAAATGTTGCCATTTCTATGGCTAAACTTTGCCCAATCGACACGAAACGAAAACCCAGACCCAGGGGCCTTCTAAGCAATTAGCTTCACTCTCGAAAAGTTATTGCTCGAATCAAGGCGCAAAGTGGGTCAATTAAATTATTGATTCGAGTCGAGTCGAAACCAAAAAAGAACAGTGCAGAATTAGACAGAAAGAGAGAAGCACAAAGCCACTTGGTTACTTCTTGATCGGTCCGTAGATAATTTTGAGTGGCTGTGACGGATGTTTGTGGGATGTTTTGTTGAAGTGGCATTTACTTGAAGACAATAGTTATGGTTCTGGGCATTACGTAATTTGCGACTCGTGGGGGATTTTGTATTTCAAGTTTTTTTTGGTCAAGTAATTTTTCAATTAATTTTAATGTTATTCAATGGAAATATGTCTTGAGAGATGTTTTTGCGAATGTCAAAATTGGCTTGAAATAGTTGGCACAAGGTCACGAAAAGTAAAATAATACTTGTATGTGAGAATGATTATGATATATGGAACTTGATAATGAAAAGATCTATTATTTAGGTTTTACAATTTCCTTTCTTTGAACTTCAATTATCTCATAATTATATACTCCGTAATATTCTCTCTTTCCCTCACACCTCAATAATCGTCTGCAACCTGTTTTAACTTTCTTGTATCCTTATTGCTTTTCTTGGCCGGAAACTCCATTTAAAGTCAAATTAATTGCACTGGAAATCTTATCATATCATAAACGTTTAGTTAAATGCGCTGCGAAAATTGTCCAATTTCCCCACAGACAGAAACCAGATTTTCCATAGATCCTAACCAGCTGTCATCTCCATCGGAAAGAGTCTCGCCGCCCCGTCTTTCCTTGTCGGGGAGCCAGCCAGTTGATCCACCTGACCAGACGACAGCGCGTCTGCTGTGCGTCTTCCACTTTGAGTACTGGCTAAACGAGGCAAAAGCTGTTTTGCACATAAAAAACACTCATTAGAATTCCGTTGAGTAGCCGCTGAGACGTTCAACAAGTGCTTCAAAGCATTGAAGCTTGCTTTTACCGCTAGGTTTCGCGGAGAGAGAGCGAATGACGCTCAAGTTTTGCATTTAGAGTGGGGAGAGTCGGTAAAATGAGGAGAGGCAGATGAGTGCGTAATTTTGAAGCTCACGTTTACAGCCATGCTTTGCGGAGACAGCGCGGCAGAGTAAGAAAGGAGAGAGAGAGGGAGAGAGAGAGCGAGCATAAGGACAGTAGAGTGCGTAATGCCACTCTCCAGTTTGGTTTCCATTTCAGACCCCAAGGCGTAGCTGTCGGCAGCCTTGTAAATTACCCAGCAAGTGGCTACAGTTTTACAGCTACAGTTTCACACTTGCTTAGTAATTACAGTACTTTCAGTTTTAGAGGAATTGGAAGGAAGGCTTACCATACAAATCTCTTTGTTGGCTTTTGTTTTTTCTGTTATCTGCACTCTTCTGCAGTTTTTGCTGCAGTTTCTCTTTGAGTTTTGAAGCTTTTGTTATTTTGTTGCCGTTGATTAACTTTTGTTGTTTTATTATGGCACTTGTTGCTTCTGTGGCTTTTAATTGCTTTGTTTGCTTTTGCCTGCACTTTCACTTGGTTTTTGTTTCTACGTTTTTTTTTCTTTGCTGGTTTTCAATTGCACTTGCTGCAGGGCGGGCGGGTAGGCAGGGTGTGTGGTGCATAGGTATTTGCTTTGTTGCAGTTTAAAATTGCTGTAATTTCCAAATGGTTTCGTATTTTGACCCATATTTCGGTTATGAACTAGATCAGATTGAATTGTTTTGTGGTTTGCAACTCTCTCTCTCTCTCTCTCTCTCTCTCAATCTCTCTCTACATGATTGCCCTCTTCTTATTCATCATGTGAATCCAACTTTAACTGTTAACAGAAACAGCCCCAACTTTCTTCCTGTCTCGCATACAGCATTTTTTTTTCCACTCGACTGACATTAAATCCATTTTTGGTTTTATTAAAAAACATTAATTAAAAGCTGTCAAGCAGCAGACAAAGCG